TAGCGATTCTTGATCCCAAATCCCATTCCGTAAAAAATATTACTGGTATTTGGGTACCCGTAACCCTAAAAAAATGGGATGGGTATGAGTATACTCAAATACCCGTTTCCTGTTGCCCACCCCTATTCTGGCCAGTGATAGCACCAACAATCGTTGTCTTCTGGACATTATGGTGAGCCTGACCCACAATGTTAAACCAAGTTTGGATCTTAGCAACCAATCCATTCTTAGAGAAGGTTTTACCTTCCATCACCTCCTCATTCCTTTGCTTCCACAAAAGTCAAACATTGATGCCAAAGTCAATTGTTGTTTTCTCCTGCCAAAGGTTCGACATCAACCACTCTAATAGGGGGAGATTCATGCTGTTGGCGACAAGTTTATCCTAGAACTTGTCCCAAATGCTCATGGATTTGTTGCATCTTCTGACGATATGTTCAATGTTTCTTCTTGATCTTTACAGAAGTTGCAGTTGTTATTCGTCGAAATCTTTCTTCTAGTCCTCTCCTTGTTGGTCAGAAGCCTGCCGTGCAAGACAAGCCACATGAAATATTTAATTCAGTTTGGCCCCTTACACTTCGAGAGGTCCTTCCATAATCGGTTAGGATCCCTGTCTTCCTCCTCGGCAATGAGCTTGTATGCTAACTTAAGTCTGAATCGTCCATTGTTCTCCAATCTGTAGATGGTGGTATCCTCGCCAAGATCAGGGTAGGAGCTTCTATGCCCGCAATAGCCTAAAGCATGACATCAGGGAGCATAATCTTAAGCTTTTCCCGGTTCCACTCACCTTCCTCTATGATCCAATCAGCCACCACAGAATTTTTGTCCTCCTTAGTAATGTCTACTAGTGCAAATTCCTCGAGGGTAATGCCATTGTCAATCCATGGGGTTGAGTCCAGAACTTTGTTGACTGGCCATCCGTCATGCTCCAGCAAGTAGCATGCTTCATAATGTTCATTCCTTTGACAATGGCCTTTCAAAGTTTAGAGTGGTTACTCTTCTTCATGGACAGAGTTTCCCCATTACGCTGCTTGAAGTATTCCCAGTAACACTTGAACCCACAAGTCAGTGTCCTTGTTAAGCATGCTCCACCCTACCTTGATCATGTAAGACATATTCATTTGTCTTAGCAGATTTTAACCCCAGACCTCCTAGTACCTTAGGTTTACAAATTTTTCCCGAGAAACAAGGTCAGTCTTCCTCTTCTCATCACTAGATCCCCATATAAAAGCCCAGACTTTATCACAAATAGAAGCAAGAAGGAAACTGGTTTGCATAGCATATGTGCGAAGAGCATTGATCACAGAAGTGGCCAGGGTAACCCTTCCAGCAAGAGACAGGGTTCTGGCTATCATAAACCAGTTGGTCCCAATAACTCGAGTTGTTGGGAGATGCTCATGTATGATACTTAACCACTTCCTTACACGCCCTCTCAAAAGAAAGCCAACTCATGGACTTGAAGTTTGCATAGGCTAATACCATATGCTTGAAAACAACGATTAATATTGGGGGTCGTGAGGACTTGAACACGTGGTTCCAATAACCAGTTTCTCCTAACAACTCGAGTTATTGGGAACAACTGGTTTATGACATGGTATCAGAGCTGGTTTGACCAAGTAGTCGTGTGTTCGAATCACCACGACCCCCAATATTAACAATTGATTAAAGCACAAGTTATGGTGATCGCCTGTGCAAACTTCAAGCCCATTGGCTTTCGTTTGAGGGGGCGTGTTAGAGAGTGGTATAAGATCCAGCATAATCTTCTCCCAATAACTCGAGTTATTGGGACGAGTTGGTTTATGACACTGGCTTTCCAGTTGGTGAGTTTTTTGCCGATTCTATCAATAATATACTTGTAAGTTTCCTTGGTGATTCTGTCATTGATCACAAGGACACCAAGATACCGCCCCAAATCCATTGTGGTTTGAATCCCAAGTCTCTTACAGATCTCAGTTCTATTTTGTTTCTTAAAGTTTTTGGAGAAACATACTCTAGATTTCTCCTTACCGACGGCTTCATTTGAGGCTTCACAAAAGCAGTCAAGGCACTTAATGACAAGATCAGCCTGTTGGGGTTTAGCTTCAACAAAGAGCCCAAGATCATCCGCAAAAAACAGGTGGACACAAGGCAGACCCCCTAATGACAGTCTAATAGGGTTCCAGTTACCATTTCTAACTTCAAAATCAAAATAGTGGCTTAATCTTTCAAGTTTCAACACACACGGTAAAAAGATAGGGAGAGAGAGGGCATCCCTGTCTGAGGCCTCTTGTTGGCATAAAGCTCTCAGTTGCCCCTCCATTCCATAGAACTTGATAGCTAGTAGCGGTCACACATTCCATTATCAGTTTGATGGTGCTTCCAGGTAATCTAGAAGCTTCCAGTGTTTCTTTAAGAAACTCTCAATCAATTTTGTCAAAGGCTTTAGCAAGATCAACTTTTGGAGGGATGGCGCCAGCATCCAAATTTCTCCTGGAGTGGCAACAACAATCCCAAGCCACCTAGCTTCCAGGCTCCTGCAGCTGGTTTTCAAAACCAGAGGCAACCATACCAGGCCCGCCCCAGCTAGATGCAAGCAACAGTAGCCACTCTATCAACCCAGACAGGGGCAGGCTTTTCAATAGCCCTCATAGCAGCAGTAATACCAGCAACCTGGTGCATCTCCATCAGTCCCAACACCAGGCGATCCCGTGTCAGAACTAAGGGATCTAGTGACCACTTTGGCCAACACTAGTACCGAGAAGTTCAATAAATTGGAGCAATTCATGGAAGTGGTTGCGGACAAATTCATGGAGATTGAAGCTAGCCAGAGGAACCAGCAGACACTCTTGCAGGATATGGACACCAAAATTGGGCACCTATCATATGCCCTTGCTTCCAGACAGGCTGGCACACTTCCTGGCCAACCCCTACCGAATCCTAGAAATCATAAGGAGGGGTTACACGCCATCATGCTGAGAAGTGGGACTGTGACTGAGGATGCACAGCCGAAGAGTGTCAGACACATATCACCCCAGAGCCTAGGGGTGGGCATATGGTTCGGTAAAACCAAACTGAACCTAACCAAACATAATATAGACCAAACCAAAAGCGAATTAATGTTATTCGGTTCGGAATTCAGAAGAGAAAATGACATATTTCGGAAACCAGGGTCCTTTCGACCGAACCGAATTTGCGAATTCCGAACCAAAAAGCCGAATTATTATAATTGCAAGCTCCAAATGGTGGATTTTTATGTTTCTACTTATTATGAGACTTAAATATTTGAATCATGTTAGTGTTTTGTGACTTATGTGTTGAAATGTTTGATTTTATAATTGATGATGCATATTTATTGTTTACATTAGGGCTGAAAAATAATTAAAAGAGAGAAGATACAAGCTAACCTCATAAGTTCGATTTGTATGAAAAATTGAACCGAACCAAATTATAATTCGGTTTGAACCGACCGAACCGAATTATAATTTGGTTCGAATTCGGTTTGAGGTTTGATAGAATTCGGGACCCGGTATGCATAATCAACCAGAGCCGAACTGACCAAATGCCCACCCCTACCAGAGCCGAAAGAGGACCTGGTGATGGAAAATAAGCTAGAGGCTCGAGCCCCAAAGCCACAACCAGTAGTGGCTGAATATAAGTCTAAGCTCCCTTTTCCCACCAGGATGTACAAAGACAGGCTTGAGGCAGAGTTTGGCAATTTCATGTCCATGCTTAGGAAGCTGAATGTTCAAGTGCCCTTCATAGAGGCACTATCTCAGATGCCTAAGTATGCAAAGTTAATGAAGGATCTTCTCTCGAAGAAGCAGAAGCTGAGCGAGCTGGCCACTGTGGAGCTCAGCGAGGAGTGCTCAGACATTCTGCAGAACATGCTTTCGTCGAAGCAGAAGGATCCACGTAGTTTTACTATCTCGTGCTCTATTGGTAAAATTTATGTTTACGAACTTATTATTAAGATACTATAAGTTGTTCTATGTGCTACTTTAGGCATGAATCGCATGTATTTATTAACTTATCTGTGCATTCATATTTTGCACAGCATATGTCCTACTTAATAGATTTTTAGTTATTTTTCAATATGCGTCAAAAACTTTTACGCTTTGATTCTACGCTTTACGATTTTATCCCTTTTCCGCTTCTAGGTAGAATCGCGCTTTTGACTGCATTGATTTATAGTATGAACAAATTGGTTGAACGGGCTGTTGTCTTAGATATGCGGCCGCTAAGATGGCGCGTCTCCCCTTTTCATCGAGCAATACTACTATTACAAATGCTTTTTAGCTTGTTCACTGCGACTTGTGGGGGCCCTCTCTTGTAACCTCTTGTCTGGGCTATTGTTACTTTTTCCTTTTAATTGATCATGCTACTCGCTATAAGTGGGTATATTTTCTTCTTCGCAAATCTTAGTTGGAGACCGTTGCTCAGGATTTTATTCGCATGATCCAAACACAATTCTCTGAGACTGTTCAGGTGATTCACTCTGATTTTGGGGGGAGTATAATTCGTCTTCCTTACACGAGTTCTATCGGTCTCAAGGGATCATGTCTCAGAAATCGTGCCCCAGTGTATCTCAGCAGAACGGAGTGGTTGAAAGAAAGAATCACCATGTTTTAGAGCTGGCTAGGGCGATCTTGCTCCACTCTCGTGTTCCGCCTCATTTCTGGGTTGAGGCCATCCATACGATTGTTCATGTTATCAACCGCCAGATCACCCCGGTACTACAGAATCATTCTCCTTATTTCATGCTCTATGCCAAGCAACCCGATTATTCTCAGTTACGTGTCTTTGGTTGCTTGTGCCTTGTCCTTCTCTCACCCCGGGAGCGACATAAGTTGAGCTCCTAGGTCGCTCGTTGTTTCTTTGTTGGGTACAACGACTGTCACAAAGGCTTCCTTTGTTATGATCTCGTCCAGAGGCGCCTTCATATCTCTCGTGATGTTCTTTTCTTTGAACATATGATGTTTCATGATGCTGCCTCTTCTGCGACTACTGCCGACTCTTTTGATTTCATGGTTGACTCCCTCCCCACACTCCTCGATGACGACCTGGATGATGGGACTGGTATTGTTCTTCCGACACAGCTCCACATCCCCGCTGATCCTCATCGAGTGACTCGGGGTCAGTCCCCATCCTTTCTCACTCAAAATTATGCTACTTTTGCCACAGCTCCGGTTGATATCCCTCGTCATTATCGTCAAGCGTGTGGGAACCCTCATTGGGATGCAGCATGAGGTCGATGCTTTAGAGGCCCAACATACGTGGGACCTAGTCCCTCGCCCTCCTTTCTACTATTCCTGTTGTTGGGTCTCGTTGGGTATACACTATCAAACTTCTTCCTGACGGTACCTTGGAACGTTATCGGGCTCGTGTGGTTGCTCAAGGTTTTTCTCAAGAGTACGACATCGACTATGATGAAACATTTGCTCTAGTGGTTCGCATGCAGACTGTTCGCAATATCTTGGCTGTTGTTTCTAATCGTAATTGGTCTCTCCGGCAGCTGGATGTTAAAAATGCCTTCTTGCATGGCGATTTGAAGGAAACAGTTTATATGGAACGTCCCCCCTGGATATTCTAAAGGTGACTCCTCTACTGTCTATCTTCTTCGTCGCTCTTTGTATGGTCTCAAACAAGCGTCTCGTGCCTGGTTTGAGAAGTTTCACCAGGCAGTTCGCCAAGTCGGCTTCTTACAGAGTACTTGTAATCCTTCACTTTTCATTCGACGGACTATTCATGGTATTTTTCTTCTCCTTATCTACGTGGACAACATGATAGTCACTGGTAGTGATGTTGACAGCATTGCCGAGTTGACTGCCTCGAAGCATTATGCCTTTAATCTTAAGGATCTTGGCGAGCTGACTTACTTTTTGGGCTTGGAGGTTCGGCGCAACGCCAATGGCATTTTTCTCTCGCAGCGGAAGTATATAACTGACCTCCTAGAGCTAGCTCAGTTCGTTGATTGCCTTCTGAGTTCCACTCCCATGGAACATAATTTAAAACTTAGCAGCGATGATGGTGATCTGATTCCAAATGGTACCCACTACCGCCAAGTGGTTGGTAGTTTGATGTACCTTCTTCATACACGTCTTGATCTTGCCTATGCTATTCAGATCGTCAGTCAGTATATGTCTGCTCCTCGTACCACTCATCTTCATGTTGTCCATCGTATTTTGCGGTATCTTCAGGCTACTCTGGATGTCGGTCTTCTTCTCCCGTCTCGTGGTGATCCTGTTCTCGAGGCTTATGCTGACGCTGATTTTGCTGGGTGTGTTGATACCCGCCGATCTACCTCAGGTTGGTGCGTGAAGGTTGGTGGTGCTTTCATTTCCTGGCGTTGTCGGAAGCAAGATAAGGTGTCGAAATCCTCGACTGAGGTAGAGTTCAGATCTATGTCCGAGGTCAGCTCGGAACTCGTATGGTTACGTTGTCTCTTCGACGAAATTGGTTGCCAGATCTTTACTCCTATGAGGCTCTATGGCGACAATACCAGTGCTATCCAGATCGCCATAATCATGTTCTTCATGACCGAACCAAACACATTGAGGTGCATGTGCATTACATCCGGGAACTTGTTGTTGATGGTTGTCTTAAGCTCTACTACGTTGCTTCTGAAGATCAGACTGCGGATGTGCTCACTAAAGCAGTTTAATCGTCTCGTCATTGGTTTCTGTCTGGCAAATTGATGATGCGTACCGCTCATCAATTTTGGGATGCTGTTAATGTGTGTGATGAGGGTTATATTATAGCTAATGACTGAGAGCTCGTCGCTCTTCGTGGACTAGTCATGTTCATCACAAACAGAGAAATCACGTAAATCTTGTGTCCATAGTCTCTTTTACATGATTTCAGTGGTAAATATCTCTGGATTTATTTTGTTCGACACGGTAGTCTCCTAACAATCAAAACTCCTTCCTCAGCTGTGATCCCGCACATCTCCTCGAACGACCCATGCATCTCTTCCAGGTGGCACAAATCCTCTCGAATTCCTTACGGGAGAATATATGTGCGTATTTATATGCATGACTGCCTGAGGGGGCGGAAATAATTTATTTCACTCACAATCACAAAAAATTTAAAAAACAAACTAATATATTTCATTAATATAGAATTAAAACGGTAATAATCAAAATCACTTAAAATAAAATATAACCCAAAATTTCTACTATGTTATAATCAAACAAATGAGATTAACAAAATCTCTTAAAATATATTAAAGCAGTTTATGAAATCAACCCCACCACGTCAGCCTCCCTGGCTTCTCCGCGAATTTCGGTGCATGGTAAAGGAAACCGTACCGGACATCATACCGGATTCCTTTCTGGTATGGTATTTTGTGGTACGACCGTGGTTCAACCGTTTTGTACCGGTAAATACCGTTTTTCACTATTGATAGAGAAATGAAATGCGATAGTATAAAAAATATAATCCATCAAAAAAAGAACCAAATAGAGCATTATACAACCACGGTGGCCCATTTTCAACATAGAAAAATAGCAAAATAATATTCTTTTTTAATTATTTTCCACATATTGGACGAGAATACGTAGAAATGAAGCTGAATCATAGACCAGAAAACCGGATCGTACCGGCCGGTTCAACCGGTCAAACCGAAAAAATCGGTCGGCACGGTAAAATCAGCACAATCAGCCTACCGTACCGCTTTTGGTCCAATTTCCGGTTGAACCGGTTGAACCGGCCGGTACGATCCGGTTTCCTGGTCTATGTTTCGGTGTACTGAATTTTCATTTATTCTTTAATGTTTTCCTCTTCCCAGCCGAGCGGTTTCTTATAATTTGTTTTGTTCATTTTTTAAAATTATTTACTCTTCTCCGTTTGCTTTTCTAACCAAGTGGCTACTATTTGGCTATTTGCAGTCTTCTTTCCTTTTCAGAATTCTTCCTCCACATGTTTCTTTCTTTTTTCTTTTGGTTCCGTGAGAGATGACTGATGAGAGATAAATTATTGGATTTTCATTATTATTGTTTATGATAATTAGTTAACCATAATTATAATTATTTACTCATTCAAATAATAAAAATATTTTTCTATATTATTCTAATAAATATTTGTTTTCCGAGTACCTACTGGTAATATTTCTATCAAAATAATTTTGAGTTTTGAGTTTTTTCCTTAGATTACGAGTAGCCAATCCACATCAACCATAGAACATTTCCATTCCCTAAAGATTTTTTTCTAATGAACATCATCTCACTCATTCTCATCATTCGACAATTGTTCTATAACATCATTTTCGTATAGAGACTCAATCTAACTTCTCTCGAGATTTCTAATCCACTACATCAGTTGGATTTTCACTCACTAGCTGATGGGCGTTAAATAACCCTAACTCTAGATGGTAGGATTAGGCATCGTGCGCAATTTTATAGATTGATCATAGTTTAAACTGCAAGACGACATGACATGTCCACAAGATTTTTTTTGAACCATAATTAAGATGAATGTACCTTTCACTTTTTACGAAAATTGAGATGAATGTTTTCCCTCTCTTTCTTGGATGTCTCTAGGAGGTGAATTTTGCGTTCTAATTTACCGAGAGGGAGTAAAACTTTTAATGACTCTATTCGGTATTTTTTACATAAACTATCTACGTGATTCTAAAAAATTTGTTAATTTAATAACGATATTATACATATACACAATAACGAAGAAGCTATCTGCCCAAAGGGCAGGGATCAAAGCTAGTAATAATAAAGCATTTTAGTACGTAGTATGTTCTTCAAAAATTTCATACCTGGAAATGACTATCCTAGTGCTGACCTTGTATGAAATTAAAGGACCAAGTTTACTATTTAATAAAGAAAAGTAAAAAAAATTTCAAAAAACAATTATTATAGCTAAAATTTTGCTTCTAGCAAGGATTGAACCCAGGCACTAATCTTTAAAAGAACCAATAACTCCGATGGGCTATCTTACATTTTTAGCATAAAAGTTCATTCATACTTTATATATAAAAACATTAAGTTTATACGTAATTCTCCAAATTTTATACTGACTTATGTGTACGTTTTTAAAATTCTCGAGGCCCCCGCCCCCCTCCCCGAGGACCTACCTAGCTCCGCTCCTGCTTCTAACCATAGTATTACTAGAATGACTAATGAAAATTTTTCGAAAAAAAAGAAGAAGATCAATTAGTAAAAATAATAAACGAATATCAAGAATGAATAATAAATATACTAGAATATAATAATAAATATATAATCAATTTTGAAGATCTATTTAAACCCCTAATACAATTAGGAAGCACCACTAAAAAGAGTTAAGATAGAACTTAATCGACCATCAATACATCAAAACCAAAGAAGTTCTATATAAACTATAAAAAATACAACATTTAGTAATAAATCTAGAAAATGACTATAGGAACATAATTACAATTAGTAAATTTAATAATATGAAACATCTACATAATATTAGAAAATTACAAGGAGATTATATAGAAAATTATACAAGATCAACATGATGAAAGAGAACTAAATATAACATCCTCATATTATTTATATAGAGACAGAATTCATAGGATTTATTTGCTTAAAGAAATAATTCAATTATTAGAATACATAATGATAATTAAAAATACTAATAATGATAATTGGTTCTAAATTTCTTATTAAAAATTGAAATTAAGCTCGGAAAGCAGTGATGCCAATAAGCTGCAACCAGTTCATGGTTGGAGGAGAGGTGTGACCTGCGGTAGTTTCTTATTCCAAGTAAGGGGTAGTTTCAAACTAGGGATTAGGTAGTTTGACAGTTGTTTCTTTCATGGATCAATTCCATTGTAGGACAGAGACAAAAGTTATCTGTCATGGCTCATCATTTTTAAACAAGTGATGTCATATGAGCTGTCATATGCTTTTCTTAAATGCGGTGCATTCTTATAAAATATGTGATTCAGGTTCCAGTGAGTAAATACGAATTTAAATACTTTTCCGACTCTCAGGCGAGCTGTGGGGTTCTGAATCCAGTTAGCCAAACATAGGAAGTTGATTTGTTTGGATAGAGTCATCATTTGTCAAAGTAATTAGTGCAATTTCATGCAAATTGTACTCCTTGTGGTTGATTTACAATTCATCTGTTCATTCTTTCTCGGGTTTACAGAGTTATAACAGTTTATGTTGGCTTGCCTTTGATTGACTTGTGGCCAATGTAGGTGCGTTGAGCTTAATTTGTCTACCCCTTTTCATTTGGGTCATTTAAGTTACTTTGTTTGCTAATATGGTTTCCTTTCTCAATTTTGTGTCCCACAGTTTTGCAGTACCAACTGGTAATGCCTTGCTGCTGATGTGAAGACAATGAAACCTAAATATTTTATTTGTGGAAGAGGAGGTGCAGGTAATGTCATAAGCTGGTTTGTTTTTCCAATAATTGATTTCCATTTAGTCCATTATGTAGGCTATCGGCTCTTCAAAAAGTGGCAGTCCCACTGGAACATCACATTTAGGACAGCCTATAGAAAAGGCTTAACGGTTGATCCCCACCACAAGCCTTTTTATTGTTCTTAGGATTGTTAATACTTAATACCCTTTGTCCATAATGCATTTGGTATAAGCGATAAGCTTTTGTTGCCTGTTGTTCTTTCTTTTGTCCCTTTTTCTTCGGTGATGGAAACCAACTTTGTTAGGGTTTCTATATTTATTACTAATAGGGTCATTCTTATTATGGTTAGTAGTATTCTGGTAGAATTAAGTTTATTAGTAGGGTTTCCCTATATTCGTTACTAGATTAGGGCCCGACCGATGGTCGGATTCCATTGATCAATGACATAAGCAGTTATATAATTGTGTGAGGCATTATATAGATTAAAAAAAAATACATAATATAAGTTATCATTCTTTGATTCATCGATGAAAGTACTTAACGAAAGTTGGAAAAAAACATATACATGGGAATCGATGTCTAAAAACTTTAGCAAACAACACTTTCCGTCGGGTTGACTTTAGTTGACTCTGGCGTGACAGATTTTTAAGTGAGTTGGATGATTTTTATTGATGTGGCAAGAAATCAAACGTTAGACCATGCCACTTGGATATTATATAGTTTTATAAAATAAATTTTCTTTTCATAAAAATAAATAAATTTAATTTAGATAAATAATAATAGGAGTAAGTAAAATTATAAATAATTTCAAGTCACTTCAAAACACCCATCCTTCTTCTCTACCTCTCAATCCCCTTTTCGTTGATCAAGCCCTTTTCCCAATCGTCCGTCGCCGATGTCGAGTAACTTCCCAAGCATCTGTTATTTATTATTATTATTATTATTATTATTATTATTATTATTATTATGGGTAAATATATTTTCCTATATATTTTGTAATATTTTTATTGTAGCCATCAAGCATCTTTTTCACACCATAATCATGTATTATGTCAACCTGAATTTTTCATCAATTTTCTATAAATTGCGAAGATCCTCACTCTCATAAGATCCACTACCTCCAGCATAACCATACTCTTTCTTATTTTTTACATTTTACTGAAATAAAAAATTTAATGGTAAAATATTTCCAAATATGGCATATAAGTAAATATCTTCAAAACTATGTACTCAATTTTGTTGCCTAAATTGATGGGAGATATGGTGGCTGAGGTCTTCTCACCGCTTGAAATAGTTTTCGAGCAAACATTCCAAAAAATATAGTTTTCTCATTTTTGTGGTCCAAACCACAAAGTTAGATTTAGCGATTTTATCCATTATACAGAGTTGGATCTTGAATAAGTTAAACGATAACAAATGAGATTCACTGTTTAGTAAAAGAAAGAATTTATGTTTAATGAGTATGATGTTTTCTCTCTCGAATGAATGAATTTGAAGTTGAGAATAACTGAAGAGTATAGATTGATTATTACTTATATGTTGTCTTCGTAATATTATTGTACAAAATATGCAACATAGATTGATTTTTAACTTTTGTAAAAGTAATCCTCGGAGTTTTTTTATTCAATTTCGAGATAGGTTGCATATGCAACATATTACTAACAATTCCTAAGTTTGATAACTTTATATTGGACGGAACAAAATTTTGTACCACTCGTTTACCACTCTGTTAAAACTTCTATTTTTAACTCAGATTTTGAATTTTTTTGCACATTGTGAATGAGATCATCGTGCTCCATTCTATTGTGATCTACACATTGGGGGGAGGGGGAATACAGTGACCAAATATGCCACCTTAAGAGTAAAAAAAATGTCACATTATACTATGGTAGACTGTTATTAAAGGTGGTAAATGACATTTCTATTATCATGTATACAACCATTCTAGTCTATAATATGTTCATATCAACATGATATGCTTCTATACCATCATGGTATAATCTTATGTACTATCAAGCATTACTATCATGGTATAGATTGACAATATATGTCTCAAAATTATTTTTGATAAAAATATATATCAAAATGTATGTAATTTTGAAGAACATAATAAATATGTTTTTCGTGCAAAAGTTTGAACTATGAATTAAATTAAAGGAGATATAGCTTGTTAAAATTAAGTGGAAGAAAATTTATATGTCTCCCAGGTACCGTTGATAAGGTTACTGATGACTAATGAGTATAAAAAATGAATTATTGACGTATCTACTCTCATGATAGCCCCTAATGTTTTGGAAATTGGAGATTAATACTTAAACTTTGCTTGCTTAAAAGGATCGCTACTATTTGAAGTTTTGGATTAAGTCTTAACAGTGAATAGAGAGCAGGGCCAAGGAATAAATAAATTGCGGGCCAATCATATACGTACTGCAGCAAGGAAGGGGAATTGCAAGCAAAAAATAATGCTTGGTTTGAAAAGACCGCAGAGCCCTTCCTAGAGTTGCGCAGGAAGCTCCAATTTTGCAGTTCTATATGTTATGCCTCGGAACTTCTATATAGTATTGGTAGGATAAATATGTACTAGGCCTATTCATTCAGAATCAATAAGAAGAATATTAAGAAACAATCTCCTAAACCCTATTCTCCCAATCCTCTCAATTCTTGTTCCCAATCCCTCAAAAGGCCTAGGCCGATTCTCTATCTATCTTTCTCAAATCCCTAATTCTGTTCTTATTCCCTAAATCTCCAATTCCCGATAGAACCCTAATCCCAGGTTCTATCAATTGGTATCAGAGCCAACATGAGCTCTTCGTGGCTCTCTGATCCGTTTTGGAACCGTATGATGCAACGAATCGACGCAACCTGCGCCGACCAAGCCGCGACGGCGCGCGAGAAGGGCTTGGCAGTCATGGAGGAAGCCGCTGACTACGACGCAGTGGAAAAGGAGTCCTTGACCTCGGGAGATGAGGCTAAGGTGACTCAGCAACCACCACCAGTGGCGGCTGAAATCACCGCCGTAATTGGTTCAACTATGGTCGAGGAAGAAGACTCGGACGCCGGAGACAAGGAAGAGCAGCATCAGTTCTTGGCTACACCAGCAACTTGCACCCCCATTGAAACAAGCACACAAGCTGTTGGTGCCAAATTCACCGCTAGCCTCGGCGAACAGCTGTTCTCGGCCGAGACAGAGAAGATGATGACATCGGCGAGACCAGAGCAGGAGGGACTCCGGGATGGCGGGGAAGCAGCTCGTCTCCACGGGGAAGGAAGGCCGACGATGTCGGCAGGACCCTCTACTCGCCTAGGAGGAAGAAGAAGAAGAAGCAGCAGAAGTGGAACCCAAAGATCGGAGACAGATTCAACCGCCAACGTGAAGCTGAGCGTCGGCGGCTATTTGCAATGACGAAAGCCTGGGTCGACTCGTGGCAGTCGCGACGACCAGGGAAGCAGCAATAGGCGGCAGCTCACGTCGTGTCGTCGATCGACTGGGAGAAAGAATTGATGGTGAGCGGCGTGGCCTCAGGATCTATTTTCCATCGCTTGACGATCTACTCAACGCCGGAGAAGGAATTGAAGAAGCGCTATGTCGGCGTTGACCGTAGAAGAGAAGCAGAGATGGAGCGGGAGACGACGGTAGTCGTCGGGGAGGCCTCGCGAGTCGTCGAGGCGAAGAAGGGTTCTTCGCCGAGAAAAAAGAAGGATGGAGTGGGCAGAGGTGATGGTTGTCCGCCGGAGCAGCGTTTTGAGATGACAGAGCTGCGCGAGGAGACGCCGCCGCGGAGAGGAGCAACGCCAGAGACGAGCGGCGAGCTCGGGGAGACGGAGTCGTGGACGAGGGTGGCGGGGTCGAGCTTGTCTCTATGCCGCCTGAAGAACCCATCGCCGCCAGAGGAAGTAATGGCGATGGAGGGGAAAACGAAGCTGGCAAAAGAGTGGCCGACAAAGGAGATGTCGGCGATCGAAGAAGAGGGCTCCATCTTCCTCTCGTTCGTGAACCCTAGGCAGGAGGCTGCCACTTTCGGCCCGAGTCAGCAGAGTGGGCCAAGTTGGGTTGCTTTGCTAGTTGGGCCGAGTCTACTGCAACAGGGGGAGGAAGTGGGCCGCGCAGGCCTGGAACATGGGCCGACTTCTGTTAGGCTCGTCCCGGGCGGGTCGCACCAGTGGAATGGGCCGAAGAGTGATCTCATTGGGCCGCCTCTGCAAGGAGCAATTGAGCCCATTACAGATTATGTTATGGTGAAGGTGAACTTGAAGGAAGAGGAGTTGAAGGGTTTAGCTGGTGGGCTTTCAAGAAATGCTGGCCCAAAGGCACATGGAGAAGGGATAATGCAATTAAATTGGCTAAACCCAAGAAAGAGTTTTGAGGGCCTTGATGAGTTGGTATTCAATGATAAGTTCTTGTGCAATAAAGTACCCTTGAATTGTTTAAGTGACTTGACTATGATGCCAACAAAAGAGGAGTTGTTGAAGTTCGAAATTATCGAAGAAGCAATTAGGGAGCCCATGGAAGTGAAAGCCGAAGAATTATATCAACACGAGAAGGTCGGTGGAAGAAGCCCAATTCAAAAGATGGAGCATGATTGGAAGAAAAGGAAGCGCAAAAAGTGGAGGAGACAAGGCGCGCGATCTACACGGGAGGTAGGATGAAGAAATGGGTCGAGTCGGTCAACCTTGAGGACAAGGTTGGTTTGAAGGGGGAGGAGATGATGGAAACCAACTTCGTTAGGGTTTCTATATTTATTATTACTACTAATAGGATAATTCTTATTATGGTTAGTAGTATTCTGGTAGAATTAGGTTTATTAGTAGGGTTTCCCTATATTCGTTATAAATATGTACTAGGCCTATTCATTCAGAATCAATAAGAAGAATATTAAGAAACAATCTCCTAAACCCTATTCTTCCAATCCTCTCAATTCTCGTTCCCAATCCCTCAAAAGGCCTAGGCCGATTCTCTATCTATCTTTCTCAAATCCCTAATTCTGTTCTTATTCCCTAAATCCCCAATTCCTGATAGAACCCTAATCCCAAGTTATATCATTCGGTCGGTATTGTTATTACCTCTATTGATTATGTTATTTAGCACAAGAAAGATGTATAATTAGAAAAGACAAGTAATATATGTCTAGGTAAACAAATGATCAATTTGTTAAAGTTCATCTTGGTTCAAGCGAGTTGCTTTTCACTCATTAGTTGTATTTGACCTTGGTGACCTCTGCTTTTTAGTTCGATTGCCTATGATTTATTATTTCAGTTGTTAGACCCTGAAATGCTTCGACAACGAAATCTTTGGTGCCTTTCCTCTTAAGTTATATTTCTTAAGTTTAGCATACTGGACAAACCATCTAGGGGAGGCCAATACAACTTGCACATTAGTAAGTTAAGAGTCCAGAACATAAGAGTAAAGTTCCTTGAGCTGAGTTTTAGAGCGTTGGTGGAAGCTTATTTGGTAATGCAGAAAAGATATGGGTGGTAGCTCAAGTGAATTAGTTTATAAATTATAAGTATCTGTCTCCCTATTAGCTGTTTTTTTACAGTTTCATGGTTTCTTAACATACTTCTGGGTACAGAATGATCCATGTGTAAAAGTTCATCTTGGTTCCAGTGAGTTGGTTTTTCCCCTTTAGTTTTACCTAGCCTTAGTGACCTCATTTATAGTTCAAATTGAATATGATTTATTATTTCAGTTCTTTGACCCTTGAATGGCTTTGCACTAAAGGGTAGCAGAATTCTTTGGAGATCACCGTAGTCCGACCAACTATTACAAGTATTTATATCAATCTGCCTATATATACAACAAATTACTTCAAACTGCATATAACAGCAGTTCCTTTTTGTTTCAGGTTTGAATTACACTCCCTGCCAAGATAAGTCGACCACTTATGACCTTCTCTTTGGTGATCATGCAACAACTAAACTACTTGATGAATATGCCCAGCATTTCTCAACAATGACTGATTAACTCACGACTGCTTGCCTTAGTTCGGTACAGGAAAGCAAGTTCTTACAATTGAGATGTGGCCGTTGCTAAACAAAGACGATGTCCAATCTACACTTGAGGTTACTTCGATATGAAATCCCCTTTCTCTTTAGCAAGAAACAATATAGCATGTTGTATGTATTTCTACAACATCTCCTATCAAATACAAGTTCTTTGTATTCTGTCCTAATGCTAAAACCATGTGTAGACACACTTCCTATTTCCTATCTTTACTGTAATGCTTGCATGAAAATGGTACCCATTTTCCTTATCTTTTTATAACAATCCTCTGTTTTACTTCCCACCACATCCAATACAAACATGTTGAAATGAAGCCTGCAATATGTATAGTACAAGGCTACACATTGTACAACAACCTGGCGCGAAGCGCGGGCTTTTCGACCTAGTTATTATCAACTTTACTGTACCTAAAACATCGATTATTTGTGCATCCTGAATCATTTGTAATCGTAATTTGATGATAAAAAAAATGAGCCTCATTCAGTCCCCAAATCTTGTGATCTCATTACTCTCATCCTTCTCCCAAGCAGAAAACAAAGCATAAAAAGAACAAAAAAGGGTTAGAAAAACATGTTTAGCTTTGCCATCTTCCGAGTTCTTTTTCTTTTTTGGTTCGTCTTCTGCAACTAAAAGCTACATACAAAGGCACTCATTTGAAAACTCTCCACCTCCATAAAAGGTTGCAGCTTTTCTTCTTACCCGTCTATCTTTTACAATATATCTTCTCAGACCTATACAAAAACACAAAAAAGACCCAATTTCCCCCAAAGTTTCCCCCTTGATTGAGTTCTATTAGAAATCAAGAGGGCAAAACACAAAAGAGAGGAGGGAGGAAGAAGGGTTGAGTGAAGAGCAAGCAACCATCACCAGACCTCATTTCAGTACTTGTTTCATTTGTTTGTTTGGCAAAAAAAAAAAAAATAAAAAAAAAATCTGCGCATATAGAATTTTCTTTATATATAAGCCCTGATCTTTGTTTTTTTATCATTATCAGGGATGATTCTGAAGTCGATGATGTGGGTATACTTAGCTACTACTAGTGCTCGCCTGCTGCCCGCCAGAACTCATAGCTGGATGAAGCAGCTCTGCCTGAGGGAATGAGCCGTTCGACGGCACATCCAGCAGCAGGTCTTGATCAGAGCTCTCATCGACGAAATGGAGAGAGTCCAGCACGAAGGAACCGCCTCCCTCAGGAGGCAACGTGAATAGACTCTTCGGGTTGAAGCATGTTGCATCGGTGTCCATGATTTCCCTACTAGTGTTCTCATAACCTGTCTTCATTAAACTCCTTCTCAGGCTCATCATCATCTTCACATCTGGAAGCAGAAGAAAAAACATGATTTAAAGCGCTGAGAAGATCATGATAAAGAAGAAATACCTGCATTGATGTAAATCTGGGTGACTGGGTTGAAGCATGTTGCATCGCTGTCCATGATTTCCGTACTAGTGTTCTCATAACCTGTCTTCATTAAACTTCTTCTCAGACTCATCATGATCTTCACATCTGGAAGCAGAAGAAAAAACATGATTTAAAGCGCTGAGAAGATCATGATAAAGAAGAAATACCTGCATTGATGTAAATTTGGGTGACTGGATGATGGAATTGGACAGTTTCACCAGTTAATCATAGAATTTACATTCCAGCTAGGGATACAATTGAATCCCGTTCAATCATTCTTATAATGACCAATCAGATTATGGAGTGTTCAACACTTGAATATTTCCAAGGAAATGTAGATGATGTTCAGGGGCCACCGTTCAAACGACCCCATATATAGGCTCTAATCATGATAGAGGATTCAAACAAGCATCAAACTGTCAGCAGGCAATCTAACGAGTATGGTAGCTGACCTGGGATCTTCGAGCTCTCATGTGGTCTTTTGCCTGTAGTAGAAAAGTTTGACGCCACATTCATTCCCTTTACAGCAGGAGGAGACTTTCCAAGGCTGTTTTGGCATTTCTATACCAAGAAAAGGCATGCAATGACGCAATAGCTCAGTATAATTCATTGTCAAATTAATCATGTAACATGTGCTCGTGAATCCAATGAGTCAGAGTTCTGACCTTAGAGTAGATGATAATGCTCAACCCACTTGGACTTTTAGAGGTTGCATAAAGTGAGTCACTGAGAGTTTTACAATCTTTTCGGTCTTTACCCCTGAGAAGGACAGATCAAAGACCCCTTCTGTTAGAAGTTGTTGATATGAAGACAGGTTCGCCTTGAACTGAGGGCTATCGAACATGCTTATGATGCTGTGAGATGTAAACAAAAAATCATTGTCAGTAATAAGCCATAACTAAGCTTCCTGATTCGACGTAAAATCATAGCAATTGTGCATATTGCATCGCCTGATGCTACTTGGTACAGTCAGCATAGTACAGAGACCAACCTGTCCGGAAGTTTTCCAGTATCAAGTGCAGGCAGAAATTTAAGCAACTGCTGCTTCTCTTCGCTCGTAAAGTGTTCTGAAAACTCCTAGAAGATAACAGCCATTGTCAGACACTGGAAATCTACGAATCAAGTAAAAGAGAATAATGTCATGGAAACATCTAAGTTCAGGTAACGTTGATTGTTCGACAACAGTAAGTATACAAGGACTGCAACCGAAGTCGAAATGGAACAACCTACTGCACTGAATCATTCATATAAATGAATGCGAGCACAATAACAGTGATAACTTGTAAGATCCCCTATGATTTTAGGATGATGTCTAGAAAGAAAAAAAACAAACGTCTCAGTGTGCCATTAAATAAGGGATATTTCTTATCATCTCAAGAGAAAAAGAAATGTTAACTTACATTCAGATCAATATTACACAGGGGTGAGTTATGATGCCCAAGAATTTGCACTTTCTCATGCTGAGACTTGTCCCTGAAATTCAATAATAGAAGCATGCCGTTAAGCTTTGAAACTGCTGATCCTGATTCCTTCTGTCCTGAAGTTATTCACAACTACAGCATGGTGCAGATGTACCTATTAAGCTGTTCTTGCTGCTGCATTCCTTGGCCAGGAAGGTACTAAGGTTTCTCAATCACAGGATCAAGAGTCTTGATGCACTGTTGTTTCCATTATACGTATGACTTCACGGAATGCGAATAATTCTCAATCGAAAGTGAGCTAGCATCGGACTCTTCATCTCGAGCTATTGCACTAGGATGCCGGATGATACCACTTCCATGTCCTATCTCAACAGAAACCATTGGTGTTTCCCTCTCAAAAAGCAAGTCCTCTTCAGAAGTACCAGAAAAGCAAGATGACTGTTGTTCATGCAAGATGGTGTGGATATATTTTGTAAGCTTCTCGACTGGAGATTGTTTTGGGCGATTCACGCATGTCTCTTTCTAGAAGGTACCATTGAGTCCCAGACAACTGCTTGAGATGGACCTGACAAAAAACATTGGCGTGAAAACTCGCATAGGATGAGAAATCAAGTAGGAAATTAGAGCATAAAAACTTGCACATAAGACAATGACATTGAAACAATCACTTCCTTTCTTCTTCCTATCTTTAACCAATTCGAGTATCCATTTTCTCCTATACCAACATTCACGAAACCATTTGACCAGCAGTTCACAAGAACAAATACCATTTTTCGCAGTTCATTAAGATGAATATTAGTGAAAGCATGCGAAGGAAGGTCGAACCTGTCAATTCACTTGCATCCATGCTACCAAATTGAGCACAACTCTCAGAGTTAGATATGGCTGATCCTGAACTCGATCTATTACTCAAATCTTAATCCACAACCTCCCGGCTGCTCTGCTCGTAATCAGAGGCCATTCCTCCAACCACCCCGGCATCATGGTTTGGCTTCCTTTTGACAAGCTTTATGTCTTTGTTCCTATTAAGAGATATGTTCTTCAGTCTGGCAACTCTCTGATCCTTATATTCTTCGGGATCTGCCCGGGGAGTGAAGAGGTGTATAGTTTGCCGGAGTTCCCTTTGTCCTCCATCTACACCCACAAGCATTGCAGAACACCGGCTTTTCAGGAGGCCCATTGCGCCAGAGAGATGTGCCTAATCCAAAAAAAAAAAAAAAAAAAAATTCAAATACACAATTTAATACACAAACTAAAAAGCAGCTATCTTGGAAACCTAATGAATATCGGTCGAACAAGCATTTTATGAGGGAAATTAAGCATTGCAATCTGGTAGACTGGTACTGTCTATTATAACAAGAATCAGCAGCTCAAACTGTAGCAAACAAATGGAGCAAGAATTGACTCACTTAGCTAGCAATGTAGCATCCCTTAGCTGGTCTTAAACACTAGCCTGCACCAGTAATACAGCAATAAAAAACGCAATGCAAAGGCTCCTAATGAGCAGACCAAAGAAGGGGATTCAGTAACCCGAAAGGATAGTCATGGGGAATCAATCAACAGATTGTTTAACCAAGGATAGCGGAAAATGAGAAGAAGCATGTGAAGATTGTCAAGTGGTTTCCAGTAATACCATTGGAAAACCCGAACTATTAACTTTGTGCCATTTGTGTCCTAAAGTATTCCATACGACAATTGTGTCCCAAAGTTTGGTAGTTTTGTGTCATTTGTATCCTGACAGTTTCGTTGACCGTTAAAAGTAACGGTTGACCAGACAGACGGCCGTTAGGTCAGCTTCCGAAGCTTGCGTGGCACACTCCTGTTGGCCACGTAGACGACACATAAGCAAACACGTCAGATTAGTAAAAAAAAAATTACCATTCTGATTTAAAAAAAATAATGATTTAAAATAAAAAAACCCTATTTTTTAACCCTCTTCATCTTCTTTGTAGCTCCTCCGCTATTTTCAAAGTTCTTCTTTGCGAGAGGGTCGTCGCGAGCAGAGGGCAGAGGAGAGACTGCGATAGCTCCCTCGCGTCGGAGTGGCGACGACGTTGGGTTTCAGTAACGCGGAGCGGCGCCGGTTCGTGGTGATTGAAGGTATTCATTGCGGCGAGGATAGTGGTGCGACGGCGTGCTGCGGAAAAAGATTCTCGAGGAAACCAGGTGACTATATATGTTGGGTTGTTTTAGGGTTTTATGTACTTGGAAGGAGATTCGTGGCAGCAATTGAATGGGTTTTGTGGCAGCAATTGAAACATGTCGGGAAGGAGATTCGGCCAAAGCACTTGTGACTCTAATTCTTCCAACTCTCGAATCGTGAAGTGTGGGCATAATATACCAGCAAAGTCTTATGTTTCAGGGACAGAACTCAATCCGGGGAGGGGATTCTACTGTTGCCCATATTGGAAGGTAATTTATGCATTATTTGTTTAGTTGGGGGATTTTATTCGCAAACAACAGCTCACTTCATCTTGATTTATTTGTTAGGAGCCTTCAAAAAATTGTCTATTCTGGCGTTGGGTGGATCAACGTAATGATGAAGAGGAAACACCTAGCTCCAATGTGATCGTGGCAGATGATGAAGACATTAGGATGAAGTATGCTTCGATGGAGATTCATGTTACGAGCTTGAAGGAGAGCTTGAAACTTGCTGAAGAGAAAGCTGAGCGAAGGAAGCATGCTAAAAAATGTTTGTTTGATGATTTAGTTAGCATTAGGGAGGAAAACACTAGGCTGGTAGGGGAACTGAAGTTGGCCAATGCTCGATTCTTGTTTGTTTTGTTCCTTTTCGTTGGACTGCTTGTAGGCATTGCCATTGCAGGACTGAAATGAAGTCTGGAAATGCACATCTATTCTGTAACTTATGGCTCGAGTTTATTTACGATGTTAGCAAACAATCATGTTTGTGTATGTTATTGAATCTGACATTGAGGAATTCCTTTGTATGACAGTAAGTAAACAATGATAGCGTCATTTTATAAACATACCATTCAAACATCCTGAAATTGTTCGACAGAAGATGATCAATATCATAGTCTGAACCATACACATACATAATTGTGTTTGTCAGTTACAAAGCCTGCCATTGTCTAGTTTTCCAAAATTAATCCATTGTTTGGGAATCTTACATGATTTCCTCCGGATATAAGGCAACCACATTTGCGCAAAATAAACACGATATCCATAATATCCATAATCTACTACGTTAACCCTACAGCCCCTAATACCACCCATTTACAACCACATAATCTACTGCTGCTGGCTCGGCTGTGTCGGTGGTGGCTGTGATCCTCCTTCAGCAATCACCGTAGGCGTTGACCCGGTACCAAGGTTGCCGTATGGCCTGCCACTTCTCAACACCCTTCCTGGTCTATCTGGACCATTTAGTATCACATATGTGTTTCCTAAATCAGTGTGCAACACACCAATTCCTTGGTTGGCCTGCAAATAATTGAAATGAGTTACTATACCGCTATAATTGTTAAGTTGTCGAGTACAAACAAAACGAAGAACTTACCATCCTAACTTCTCTATCTTGAGCACGTCTACTAGTGACAGCACGATTGATGTGTGCTTCCTACCATGAACAAAGAAAAGAGCATTCAAGTACCACTTTATAAATTCATTTACGTGTTAACTAACATTCCATTCTATCATGAAAGCCAATTTTCGATGGTCCTCTTACCTGAATTCCGCCAACTAGAGGGCATGTTCTGGCATTGTGGTCAGGTTTCTTACACTTTGAACATAACCCTGGTCTCCTCTTCACTGCCGAGGGTTGACCATCCTCATTTGCAGCAGCCCCTCCATCCCTCTCCTGCCTCCTTCGATCAGAACTTCCCCTTCCACCAGTAGCAGCCCCTCCATTCCTCTCCTGCCTCCTTTGACCAGACCTCCCCCTTCCAACAGTAGCAGCCCCTCCATCCCTCTCCTGCCTCCTTTGATCAGACCTTCCCCTTCCACCAGTAGGGGCCCTTGGACCTTCAACGTTCCTGCTTCCTCCTCCTTCCAAATTCTGCACATTATCCAAACACATTTTATACTTCAACAATGGTTACATTTTGCACAATTTCTCCAAACACATACAACATCAAACTTACCCGTTCAGCCCGAAGAACCGGACAAGTCCTCACATTATGGTCAGGAGCATTGCACTTCTTACAATGCATTACAGTCCTGAACTTCCTCATAGCAGATCCATCACCACCATGTCGAACTGTCTCAATCTCCCCTGGTGTCTTCCTCCGTTGCTTCTTTGGACGTCCAGGTAAGACCTTGAATTTAGGAGGATAAATTGGGTAGCCTACTGATTCTGGCCAAGCTTGTTGCCCTTCAATAGTAGGAATACCAAATTCATATGCCATCTTGAACGACCCAACAGTGTAGTAAGGAGACACGACTTCACTTGGCTCCCTCCTCTGCCATTGAAGGCAAGCAATTGCATGTACACATGGAATACCAGTCAATCCCCACTCCCCACAGCTGCATGTATGTTCGGCCAAGTCCAACACATACCCTTTACGGTTAATGGCAACTTCAAACTTTTCCTCCAAGCCTGGAATCACTTGACACATCTTGGCTAAATCCACACCCTTTCTAATCTTCTTCTCTATCCTAGGACAGAGGCGATCCCTCCAACCACCAGCTTGCACATTCTTTTCAACTATTCGCACCATGAGCTTCCTACGGATACCCTCGAGCATGTCAATGATCCTATCCTCCCTCTCTTCTAAGATATAACCATTGAAGGTTTCGCAAATATTACTTTCCACCGAGTCACATCTGGAGGTGTGACTCATAAAAGCCCTGCAAAAGGTTTCTGGTTGATGATCCAGAAAATCCTGAAGTAAAGATGGATCTGCCCCACTTTGTTGAATCTCCCCCATTTGTTTGATGACTGCTTTGTAATCATTGATGTTTGTTGCATACACAGCCTCCCAGTATAAGTCTCTGTATGCCTTCACCCTATGGTTAACCTTCCAATTCGCGAAAACATGACGTGCACACTTTCTTAGCGATGCCTCGGGTAAGCAACTGCTCATTGCTTGCACAAGACCCTACAAACAAGAAGATAATGTAACCCAAATCTAATGCAAAGAAAACATTTCACACACGACAAACATTCTAAAAAAACACATACAAAACACGTCGAATATTTACCTTGTGTTGGTCAGATATGACTGTCCACCCACGACCATCAATGGTCCTAAGATCTTGCTGTAATATAGAAACAAACCACTTCCATGTTTCAAGACTTTCCCCTTCAACTACAGCCCAAGCAATAGGGAACATCCTGTTGTCTCCATCCTTACCAACAGCACTCAAAAGCATCCCTTTAACCTCACCTTTAAGAAAGCACCCATCCAAAGCAAACATTGGTCGGCAGCCCCTAGTGAAACCCCTTCGCAGCCCACTAAACCCAATGTACAACCTCTTGAACAACACTCGGTTGGGCACATTAGACGGGTCAACCTCTAGAATAAAAGTACCGTCTCTATCCCGCTCTTTCAATGCACCAACATACCTCCTCAACTTGTAATACTCCTCTATCAACGACCCTCCTAACATCCGCTTGGCATATATCCTCGCCCTATAGCATTGCCTCCTCGAAATTATAACATTATGTGTTTCCCTCAGCTCCAACATCATATTCTTTACCTTCCAATTAGGCTCCCTTCGAAAACGTTCAATGTACTTCTTAGCCACCCAAGTTGCATTTGCAACCCGCATCCGGACAGCCCTAAGACAAGTGTGATCCTTCCCAAGATTCTTCACCATAAACAAAGAACGAGCATGCCAACTGCCGTAGATATACCACCCACACTTCTGGCGACATTCAGCACGCTTCTTATTCTTGTCACTTCTTGTCCACTTGATATCGGCTCCAATTGAGATTGAATGCTCCTCCACTGTCACTTTGAACTGCTCCGGGGAATTGAAACTCATTCCCACCGTGAACTTTAGAGTAGAATGTTCACATCTGGGATCGTAGTGGGGACCGTCATAAATAGGATCAGCTGGCTCTTCGTCTAGATTCCCACGCACATGTCGTGAGTCAACTGAACCTCTATATTCTGATTCAGGTAGAGTTTGGTTTCCCACTTGTTCTGCCCTTTCATGTGCCATATCTTCAGCTTCAGGTTGAGTTTGGTTTCCCCCTTGTTCTGTCTGTGCACGTGGGATAGCTTCAGCTTCTTCATCTTCAGCTTCTTCATCTTCACCTCCCATAGCTTGTGAGGGAACATCCTGTTCGGTCTGCTCATAATCAGTTATAGATTCCTGCTCCACAGCTTCACCAGTTGCATCTTTGGTGGTACGAACCCTCATCCGTCGTGCTCTTATCCCTTGATTCTCCAAAGCATCGACGAACTCATCATCAGAAGTGCGCACATCATCATCCATAAGATGGATGATGTCTCGATTCTGTGACTCCTCATCACCTTCTGTATCACCGTCATCACTGTTCCCTCCACCAGCCTCTTCATTATCTCCAACTTGAGTTTCTATACCTTCCATAAAGATCACAATTTTTCCATTTTCAACACCATGAATCAGTCCATCCATAACCTCGGTGTCAGACCTTATTTCAACCAAACCATTTCCCAAATTATGCGATGGACTCATATACCACAAGCGCTCGACCCTAGCGAATTCAAAGTGGACAACACCAAGCTGTTGTAACTGGAAGAAGGAGATGTAGTCTAGGTCCATGTCAACTTCTTCAATCTTCCCATTTAGGTAGCGAGGAACCTCGTCAGAATAGTCCATTTTCCCACCATGGTGGACTATCAATTCCAAGTACGTAGTCATCCTGCACGTTACATAACATGGTTACTATTACAAATCCTCGATTATATTAATCTAATCACAATCTAGGGTCAATAATTTTCTACCATTAAAAGCATTCCCCAAAAGTTGCTAAAAGACAACTTTGCAATCTAGCAATCCACAAACCCGTGACCTTTATGAATTGAATATTACAACTCAAAGACAACCAAATCACTATACATGGATGGAAATGACCAGAAGGTGCTTTTGGAATTGAATTCGTACCTGTTTCTCAACTCGCAAAGGGGGTAATTTCGTCTTCACAGCTTCGTCGTGGTCCCTGCTTTCCCCTTCTACTTCCAGCGAATCTTACAGAGCAAAGCCAGCAAACCCACTTCGTACCCACCACATTTACTTTCTTGTACGATTACCACCTTCCTTCCGCTTCCCACCTACTTAATTGACCTTCAAATAGCTCCACAACTCCAGAAAACCGAACACGCCCCTTCGCTCCAAAACCCTAGAAATTATGGGCGAAAAACAATTCCATACATCCCGATACCTCTGCTAGTAGAGGCATCATCTACTCCTCCCAAGACGATGATACAAGCACTCGCGCAAGGTCAGCGACGATGATTGAAGAAGAAATCGAGGATGGGTGTCGAACATGCCGTCCGAAAAGCTTCCTCCCTGCCCGCCACGCCCGAAGGTTTCGAAGCTGCCGTCAAGGATGTTCGTCCCTGCGCCGCGCCCGATGTTCGAGATGTTGACAGACTGCGGAGCTGGCGAATCGACTCCACTCTGTTCGTCGGGGAAGAGAATAGGAGAATCGGGAGAAAGGTTAGGGTTCTTGAGTTTATTTGGGGGAAGTCGAGGGAGGGAGGGGATGGGGTAAATGTGATTCGGGTTTGGGTGAAGCCCCGATTTCATTTAACTTTTTTTTTATTTGACGTGTAAAACGGGCCCGGGTTTGTAAACAAAAAAAGCCACCTAGACGGACACATCAGCGATGACCTGTCAATTAATTCAAAATTAACGGTCAACGGTAGTCAACCATAACGGAAAAATACTTTGGGACACAATTGTCGTATGGAATGCTTTAGGACACAAATGGCACAAAGTTAATACTTCGGGTTTCCTATTGGTATTAGCCCTTTCTTAAACGAAGTATATCAATGCTAAGAAGTGTAGTATAATTGGTTCCCACAACATAACTGTTTTCCCGGCGAGAAAAATAAAGGAAAGAGAATTGGATTTGCACCTTTGACTTCCAAACAAACGATTAACAAACACGGTCCACACCTCTTTGAACAAAGTTCAAACAAGGGTGTTCGATGTTCTTGATGATCTACGAGGCAAACTAAATTACATTAACTCTACTCCTATGGAGATTCAGTGAGAGCTCCGAAACTACAACTATGGCTATGGCTACATTTGCAGAGGAAAAGGTAAAGATAAAAAGATAAAATTTGGCATTGGTTGTCTGGTGTGATTTTGGCGAACCCTTTCTCTCTCATCTTCACCTCCTATTTATAGCCACCAGAAGTAACTGCCCCAAGAAATTGCTCTGCTGACGTGGAGTGACGGTTACCCTAATGTTGGATGTGGGATCCTCTTCAGTCTTGACTTCCTCCTCTTGAGATCTCAACCTCTGCTCTTGGCATCTCCTTCGTAGTTTTGCTTATCCATTGAGTAAAAATGGCTGCTCACATGACCCCCTTGCCTTGGCCATACCACGGGGGTGTACATTGGTGACCCCCTCACCATACCATTGGGCATCCTCCATGGGGGTCATATGGATCACCCCGCCACTATATCATCCTCATGGGAGTCCGCGTTAGTGACCCCCACCCCCTGATCATACCACGAGGGTGGTACGTTGGTGGTCCCCAGACCACCTCATGGGGGTGCTCCTTCCACCCACATCATCTTCCATGTCCTGGGGGTGGTGGTATGATGCCCACCCCCCTCACCACATCCTGGGGGTGGTGTGATGGTGGCCACCCCCCTTTGTACCTCCTGGGGTGGCTACCATACTCCTTGCCTTACCCAAATTCGGCCATCACCCCCTTACCACGTCCTGGGGGTGGTGGTATGATGTCCACCCCCCTCACCACGTCCTGGGGGTGGTGGTATGAAGCCCACCCCTCTCTGCGTGTCATGGGGGTGGCTCCCATACTTAGTCAAATTTGGATATGCATGGCGCGCGTGGTGGCACGGAGTAATGGGCCCAAAAATCCAATCCTCATAGCCCACTCAACTGATTAACTGATATGATTAAGTTGGCCTTATAAAGCCATTTAATTCCTTGTTTTTAACCGATGTGGTACAAGGTTAATTTTTATGGGTAAACAAATGTCCCCCAACTACTTAGTGCATAAGAATTATGGACTAAATAGTTTCACACCGACTAGACCATCAAACTCAAATAGTTGGCCATACAATTTAAATGAAGAAAACAATCCTAATTTCTTCTCCTTTGCTGCCGTGTGGGAGGAGTGAAGGGAGTCAAACATAATTATTCCATAGTCCTTCCATCTCGACACAACCGTGCCCCCCATGCCACTGTGACCACCAACAGTTATGGTCACTCTTTAATCACACGGCTTGGTATCTTTTGAAGTTATTGGGCTAGAACAACATCATGCCCCCCTAGTTAATCCAAACTACCACTAATCATACCACATGCCATTCACCATCACCTCCATGTCTTGTCATGGGCTATATAGTTCACACCTTACAAAATTTTAAAGTTTGGCATGGTTAGGCCACCTTAATGGCCTGACAATACGAGTAAATGATTTACGCTTACCAGTCGTGGCAAGATTCTCACATCAAAACCTACTAACTTCTTCTGAAACTTGTCACTTTGAGATTTAAATATATATATATAGCCATGATTGGCTTTTCTATATTAATTAATATTTTTTTACTTTTTTTTATTGTATATAATAAGGGGTTACAAGCATCATTGATCTCCATACCCTTTGGCAATAACCAAAGTGCCAAAGGTATACATCCACTGCCAAGTCCATGTATTAAACCAAACAAGACAACCATACACCATATGGCCATTGTTGATCAAAGGAGATGATTCTTCACAAGCTGACTTTGAATCACCCCCTACACCATTTTTTCCCTTCTGACCATTACCATCACTTTGGACTTGGGCATGCTTGCCCTGGTCAGACATTATCACTTTGGAACCCGTGGTCATAGAGTTGTCCACCTCAATACTAGAATGATCATCCTCATTTTGTTGTGTTGGTCTCACCATCTCACCAGGTACTACTAGGTATTGCCCATTTCGTGCTTTGGCATTTTTACGTAGGAATCTCCTCCTTTGAGTCTTTGTCATCCCCCCAATAGCTACTGGTTGACTATGCATATCATAAGTATGCCACCCTCCTTGTGGCACATTGGGTATCTTAAAAGTTCTCCTCGCGAGAGGACTTCTAACGGGAGGACTACGCATGGAAGGAATGCCATGTGCTATCCACTGCCTTCGTTGCCCCCAAGCCGGCTGGACGACCCCCTCCACTTGTCTCTGATAAGAAGGGTATCTCGGCCTGTTGGGTGGGCCAAGTCTTTGGTGGGCGGAAGGCCTCGCCTCATCAAGTTTGAGGCTCTGCTTGCACTGAGCACACAACTTCTCAATTTCATCCGTCATCATTGCGGCCGGGCTAGCATGCTTTGTACCTGACGAGCTCCCTTGTTCATGAGTTGCATTGGAGCTCCCATGTTGAGGCGGCGTTGTATCCAACACCAACTTGAAACGGGGCAACTCAATTTTGGATAGGTCCGGGTTAACCATGTTGATGCCTACCACGTTGGGAAATGGGTCAGTATCCACCAACATGGCATCCTTCTTTGGTTCCGGGAACTTGATACGCCCTTTCTCAATAGCATCCTGCAAGATATTACGGAAAACCACACATGAGTCAGTGGCATGTGACATGCTGTTATGCCACTTACAATACTTCTTTCCTTTTAATTTTTCGGGTGGTGGGATGTTATGCCCCCTGTCAACTTGATTTGACCATCCTTGTAGAGTTGGGTCAAAAATCAAGTCAGCTTTGAAGATATCGAAGGAATACCTCCGTGGCTGGATAGGGGCACGATTTGGTCTACCCCCTTGTGGTTCATTGTCGATCTTAGCCAAAGGAGCACATACATATGGCTTCCCTGGAGTTAACTCAGCCAGGTCTACCTCCACCTCATTGGCTCTTGGCCAATATGGTTAACAGGGTAGCCGATGTTGGGGAAGCATTGCCCCCTTGAGGCACTCCTCCTATTCTCCTCTTCTTGAAGAAGAGATTCATATCTCACCGCACAAGACATGAGTTGGAACAAGTCAGAGAATTCTCTATCTTGGAATTTTTTCCTTAACTCAAAACTCAACCCCCCTTGTGCTAACTTGACAAACTCTCTCTGTCAAGTTGACAAAACAACGGTTACGAGCATTCTTGAAATTTGTCAAGAAGTGCTCTACTGACTCCCCTGGCTCTTGGCGCATTCGTGCCAAATCAGCCATGGAAACCTCACGCTCAGATCTATAGAACTGAGCATGGAATATATGCTCCATCTGCTGCCATGTTTGGATGGAGTTCGATGGCAAGTTGACATACCAGGCAAAGGCAGGTCCTGTCAATGAGTTTCCAAATACTCTTAACTTAATAAAATCTCCTACATCCCCACACTGGACAGTAAAATGTCCAATGTGCTCCACAGTAGACTGGTCCCCTGTCCCAATGAATGTGGCAAACTCAGGCACTCTAAACCCCCTTGGGAATGGGTAGAGTCTATCCACCCACTCAGGGTATGGTTTTCGATAAACAGGTGGCATGGTGGGTCTCACTCCCATGCCAAATTTCTCGGCAAGAAGTTGAGCCACCTAATCCCTTAGAGTGTTGGGATCATGCCCCCCTGGTTGCTCCCTTTGGGGTACGAAACCCATGGGGTCCATGCCATGCCCATTGAAATGGGGTGGCATGGGTGCTGGGTATGCTCTGGGAGGAACTTGATCTCCCCCACTGACTCACTTCTACTATCACCCTAGGAATTGGCCAAGTGAAACCACTTCCTAAAGCGTAGTATAGCGGGTTTAGGTTTAATTATCAACCCGGGTCCTAGATTTGATGACTACTCAGTGAATTCTTGTTATCTAGCAATGAAACTGGAATGCAAGTCTAAACTACCAAACAAACAAAGCAAGTAAACGGTTGTATTCAGGTTAAAGAGGTCACCCGGATATGGTTCCCCCTAGACTGCAGTTAAGCCGGATTGCAATTACCAAGTTCTGTTTCTATGAAAGTTATACTGCGGAAGGTTCTTAAACAGCCTGAAGTCTCGACTAAAGGTCTTTAGACCCTCTCAATCTGAATCTCTAGCGGGCGACTAACCTCCACCGGAGTAGACAGATTGAGGCCCTAAGAACAAAACCTCCACTACCGGAGTAAATCCGGTACAGAATAGTGAGTTGGTTCCTCGACTAAAGTCACCAACTCCCTACCTTCAATCAAGGATACTCTATTAACCTAGGCAGATATTCTCATTCTAGGTTAAAGCAGAAACAATAGGAATTTGATCAGGATTCAAGTCATTCAATCATTCAAACCTCAATCGAATATAATCAATCATAGAATCAGTACTTGGGTTCATACAATCAAACCTAACATACAGATCTAGGGTTCTCCATACCCAGATGAATGGGAGAACTACTCCATGGAGAAAGAAGCAAAAGCAGAATCAGACGCGGAATTCATACTGTGAAGGATGGATTCCTGCTCCTGGACGTTGATTGGCACTCCTCCAAGCTCAAACTGGCCTCCAATGTGTTGAAGATCAATCTAGGGCACTTAGAGACTCTTGTTCGTCGCTTTCTCTCTCTAGGAATCGTTCTCTCTCTCAAAAACTCGAATCCCCTTCTC